GTGTCTATTTTTCTGCTTTATTCTCTGTCTGTTGCGTGCATGCATGTGTTTCGTGTTCGGCTTTCTTCTTTTTTTAATTTTTTGATTAATAATTCTGATTAATACATATATATATATATATATATATATAATATGTATTTAAATGAAAAAGATTTGAGGAGAGAAAAGTTAACTCTCAAAAGTATACTCTCAATATTCTTGAATGATTGGAATAATTTGGGAGAGATTTTCTTTTTCAAAATTTAACCTTTCTTTTTTTTTATTTTGTTAAATTATCATTTTTTTTTGAAAATATAATCTTGAAAAGGGATTAAATTTCATTTTTTGTATTTTTTGATTATTTATTAAATTTAAAAAAATGTCCGGACAAAATACGGTGTTCACACATGGCGGTAAGAGAAAGACATACAAATCAATGGAGGGCAGAAGGGAGAAGGAGAAAACATATGGAATTAGAAAAAATGAAAAGAGTAAAGATAAAGGAAGATGGATTTGGAATTGAAAGAGGGAGGAGATTTAAATTTGAAATAAGCCGATTCAGAGCCGCACACAAAAATAAGCTAAGACTAGTCATTGCTATAGTTTTTTTGAGTCTAGAGCCTATGGATTTTGAAGCTTGGCTGGAGGAGTATTAGGGGTGATATTGATTATGTACTTTTACCTTATTTAAGCAACTTAATTCAAGAAAAAATGAACTAGCAATGAAATTGGCTTAAGTGTTACCAGTAATTCTAAAAGACCATAAAGACAACTTAAAATTATTGCTTGCTTAATATATATCAAAGCATATGAATTGCTCATAATAGTTTGAAGTGTTAGTCTAGCATTAATTGATCCATCTCTAAGCATTTCTCAATATAAAAAAGTCTCTTAATTAATTAGCCCATAATTTCTTTCGTGATTATTTAATTGACACCATTTGCATTAAGAGCAAAATATGGAACTTCATTGGATTGGCATTGACAAACAGATTGTATATGTGAAGGAAATACATTTTAACTGCATATGTTAACATGTTCCCTAACTCAATGGTGATGGCTTTCTTTTTTTTTTTTTATTTAATTTTTTTCCCCATGTTTTCACCTACGTCTACATTCAATCACATGCTCATCAAGCGTGGCTCAATTGGAGCCTTCCATTTTACTTTGAAATGATCTCTAGCATTCATTTAAATTAATTTTTAAGCATTTTTAATATTGTATTGATTACTAAAAAAATTATAAAAAAATTTGATATTAAATCCAGATTATCCAGAGCACATCTAAATGATCAATTTGTAAAATTCACAAAAAAATTAATAATAAATTGGATCATCCAAACTATATTTGATCATCAAAATATAAAATTATAAAAAATTTTAATATCAAAGACTATCTAGATTAAATTTGTCCTGATCAAATTGGTGACAAACAAATTTATTAAAAAATTTATATTTTTCTATAAATTTTTATTTTAGTAAATGTAGAATAAAAATAAAAAAAAATTAAATTTAGATGGTCTAGGTCTTGTCAAAGGTGATAAGTACCACAATGCTCATTTCCTAACAAGTACTAAAGACAATCTATATTAAATATTAATTTTTTTATAATTTGTATATTATTAAATACAATATTAAAAATATTTAAAAATTAATTAAATAAACGATAGAGATCATTTTAAGGTGAAATGAAAAGTCCAAATTGAACGACGTCTAATAATCACACAGTGCTCATCACAAGTGATGAACACCAAATGCATGCACATTTTCACCCGCCTTTGTCTTCTTTAATCAAGAGTGATTGAATAATATATTCAATCTTGAGGAATGAATAGTAATTATAGAATTTTAGACTATCACACACACACACTCTCAGACTAACATAATTCCAATATCAAATTTAAATCACCATTAGGCTATTTACCAGAAGCAGACCAAACGGGTCAAGAGCCGACATCCAGATCCAGAATGATCCAAACATTTACCGAACCGGTCAAAGAGAAAACCAGTGAATTGGTCAGCTAATGAAAAATTAGAAGAAACAGGAAAATTCCTGGCTCAACTCTAGTTCAAACCTTTGTGACTTTCATTCGGCTATTTACTTAATAACTTCAATAGCAATTAACCAACTTAAAATCAAATATTTAAAAAAGAAACATGGAAGAAGATCATCTAGGCCTTGCAAAGCTACCAGTCTGCACAACACAAAACAGGAAGCAAGGCACAAGATATTTTATTTTACATTATATTGAAATAAAAGCCTAAAGTAGCTAGGAGCTAGGCTCCAATATATAATATTACAGTAACGCAAATAGTGTAAATCAATTAGCAGATGATGTAACAATCAGAAGGGGATGAAAAAAAAAAAAAAGCAACAAATAACACAGCCAATGGAATTACTTAGTGGTTCACTAGTATTGTTGCCAGCAGAATTCAATCACAGCAGTCATACAAGGGAGTCAAGTACAATTGAATTAAAGTGAACACAACACCAAAAGAGTAAAAACAGAGGATTATATCATAAAGTCTATGGTATTTTGAATATTGTGAATATTATTAAAATTATGTAATTGTTAGAATTTATGAAATTTATTATGACGTCAATTAGAATATATGTAATAATAAGTGAGGTTTTTTTTTTGGGGGGGGAGATTTGAGGTGATATAAATTGACTCCAATCCAAAAAATGCCCCATTCTTTTTTTTAAAAAAAAAATGTCATTTTTTGAAAAAAATGTCACTTTTAGAAAGTCTTGACTTTGTACACCAGTTGAGAAAGTAACTTTCTACACCAATTGTTCAAAACCTTGCATACTCTTTAAGAACTTGCAATTGTTTACTCAATAATACAACTACAACTTCAAAATTTACAAGCAAAAGTTCCCAATTCACAAGTCAAATTTCATGTTTTACAATTGAAGAGGAGGGAGTGGAGTGTTGACAAATCTTGCATACTCTTTAATAACTCACAATTGTTTACTCTATATATACATTTGCAATCTCAAAATTTACAAGTAAAAGCTCCTAATTCACAAGTCAAATCTCATGTTTTATAATTGAAAAGAATGGAATGAAGTGCTAAACAAACTATTCATACTCTTCAAGAACCCTACATTTACAAAAAACTACTTCAAAATTTATAACTATAAGTTTTTAATTCTCAAGTCAAATTTCATGTTTTATCACAAAAATATAAACTTTACAATCAAAACAGTATCCAAATAGATTGGGATGAAATAGAATTTCATAATATTAATTTACCAGTACCATCATATAAGCCCATTCCCAAAAAAAATGACGGGATGCACTAACACTAATTGCAAGTTTGCAACCCAAAATAGATGGGTTGCATCAACACAATTCAAATAAAATATTCACCAAATATATAAGGAATTGTATCCAGCACGATTGTGAAAGTTGAAACTCACATAACAAAACACTAATAATAACATGAGCCCACAAACAATGCCAGCAAGCCTTTTTAGCCTACATTTACAAGCCTTTCTTCCTCTTTGGTTTGCCATGTTCCAACAAAACCATAACCTTCTTACTTTTCGGTCATCCACCTCCTTTTAAGCCTCTTAGTCATCCTCTTTGTCATCATCTAAGTTTCTCTTCTTATTACCTTGATGACACTCCTCTACACCCTCATCATCACTCATCAATATGTCCAGCCAGCTCTACATATGCTCTTTCTAAGGTCCTACATAATACAGTACACACATCACCAAATGCATCATTCAATCCAAGTTGTAAAATGAGTACTTCCTAATTATAAATATACAACTGTTTCTAGCTTTCCTGGAATACTGTTGAACTTCCCGAGCTTTCCCTGGAAGACCCGAAGAAAGATTCCTCGCGTGCTCCTTCGCTGCCATAATTCCTCCGGTGCTTCATATAGTTCGCGCGATTCCTCGTGTGCTTCGTCACTGGCACGATTCCTCTTCGCAAGATTCATCACTCGCAGGTAAGGTTCGTTCGCCTCCTCCGGTTCTCGTGCTTTGAAGTTCGAACGATGCATTTTTCTATTTTGGTCAAAGTGCTTTGAACGATAGTATAGTTTCTCTCTCCACTTCTTTTTCCTATACTTTCTTATTCTAAATATAACTGTTTAAATTAAATATATATTTTTAAACATTATTAAATTAAAATAATTCAATATATTTTTTAATTATCTAAATTTACAATAAATTTTTTAAAAAAATAAAAATAAAATTATTTTGAATTATAGGTAAATTAATCTCTTAAAATGTCATAATTTTAATAAAATTTTAAAAAAAATTTCTATCATTAATGAATTTATATAAATGATCAAATTGTCCTCATTGAAAATAAAATAATTACAAATTTTATTTAAATAATTATAATTTTACATGTCAAATTCATGATATTATTACAAATGTTGTAAATAACAAGTGATTGTCAAAAATTTTATTTAAATAATTATAATTTTATTTCTTATATTCATAATAATACAACAATAAATCACAACTTCACACGTTCAATTATTAGTATTGTTATAAAGATAATTTAAGTATTTATATAAATTTATTAATGATATAAAAGTTTTTAAAAACTTTAATAAAATTATGACATTTTAAAAAAATTATTATTTATATAATTTAAAGAGATTTAATTATTACTTTTCTATAATTTTCCATTTATCTTCTTTTATAAAAGAAAAAGCCAACTGCTAATTTTTTTTGTCACCATGGTAAAAATTAGTTTGAGTGATATTTTTGATAAGGATGGATAAATCTTTACATATAAATTATAAATTATGCTCAAGTTTTAAAAAAATTTGATTGTAATTTTTACATTTTGTAATATTTAGTTATAAATAAATTATTTATATGGGATTTATATGTAATTTAAAAAAATACTTAAAATTGCAGACTCTTTTTCAATTCATTAAAAAGGAAAAAAAAAACCCGGGAAAAGTGAGGGACATTTTTGTCATATAAAGTTATCATGTTGCCACGTATAAGAAGATATCGACATTTGAGATGAAGCTCCATAACGGCCACAAATGGCCTCCTTTACCTTCATGTCTCTGCAACTTCAACAGCAACGAGAGCAACTTAACCCCTTCTCTTTCTCTCTCTCTAGGTACCGTCCCTCGCTCAAAACTTCTAACGTTCACTTTTTTTCTCGTTTTCTCGCTTCCTTACCACTCAAAACTAGCCATGAACGAAGATTTCATCACAATTTTCTAATTAAATCTCTAGCTTCAGTCCCAAAGTTTAGTACTTTAGAGCGTCGAACTTCGGAAAACACTAAAAGCGTCGAACAAGGGAAAGAAATTAGACATGGGTATTCTTCAGCGAATTCTATGGATAAGAGGGTCAGCAAAAATGCGGTGAAAGATCATGTTGATTCAGCTGTGGAGAAGAAATCTGAAAAGAGGTTATCTAGACGTACCAGGGAAACACCAAGTTATCGAGAAACGAAACGAACGGATCCTAGGCATTCCTCTCAGTCCTCTAAGGTTAAGTCTCTGGAAGCTAGTGGTAATTATAGAGTTAGTGAGAAAATAGAGAAGAAAGACAGTGAAAATCAGGTAGTAAAAGGGAAGAAGAAGAAATCAAAGAAGGGTAATGATTCCCCGGAAGTTAAATTGAAGGTTGCTTTGGATCAGTGTTCCAAAACAGGTGATGTGATGGAGGCCTTATCATTGTATGATAATGCTCAGAGAAAAGGAATCAAATTGGGGCAGCACAACTATACAGTGCTATTGTATCTTTGTTCTTCTGCAGCTGTTGGTGTTGTTCAACCAGCTAAAAGTGGAAGTGGAAGTCGGACTTCTGGAAGATTGGCTTTACCTAAGGAAGTTGTGAATCCCTTAGAGTTCAGAGAACTAGCAGATACAAATGAAAGGGAATTGAGTGGTAGTAAATCTAGTAATACCATGATGGACGACCTAGTTTCAGATAATGAGCGACTGGTTGACACGGTACATAGTAATGAAACAGTCAATAGGACAGAGTTGAACTCCAATGTCAACATGAACAAGTCCTCCAATGGATTCCTAAGGCAGAATACTCATCCTAGGAAGGAAGGTGATGAGATTTCGGTTGATCAAGATATTGAATACAGCCAAGAGGACCACAAAATTTTGGTAAGTGAAGATTTCAAGAAGTATGCTCTGAAGAGGGGGTTTGAGATATATGAGAATATGCGCCAAGAGGGGGTCCCAATGAATGAGGCTGCCTTAACATCTGTGGCTAGAATAGCCATGTCAGTGGGTGATGGTGACATGGCTTTTGAGATGGTGAAGCAAATGAAGATGTTGGGAATTAATCCCCGGTTGCGATCATACGATCCTGCTTTATTCGCCTTTTGCAATAATGGAGATGTGGATAAAGCATTTTCTGTTGAAAAACAAATGCTGGAAGATGGTGTCATTCCCGAGGAGCCCGAGTTAGAGTCACTTTTAAGAGTAAGCATTTTAGCTGGTAAGACTGACAAGGTCTACTATGTGTTGCATAAACTAAGAACTACTGTCAGGGAAGTCTCAAGCTCTACTGCAGATATGATTATTAGTTGGTTTAAGAGCAAGCAAGCTTCAAAGGTGGGGAAAAGGAAATGGGATAAGAGATTGATGAAAGAAATAATAGCAAATAATGGTGGAGGCTGGCATGGGCAAGGTTGGTTAGGTAAGGGGCAATGGAAAGTTTTCCATACAACTATTGGTACTGATGGAATGTGTAAATGTTGTGGAGTGCATTTGGCCACCATTGATCTAGATCCTATTGAAACAGAGAAATTTGCTGACTCGGTTGCATCTATTGCTATAATGAGAGAGAGAAAATCAAACTTTCAGAAATTTCAAGTAAGAAACACTAACAATACAAATGAGTGATAATTTTATTATTAATTGATAAGGTGGGAAAAAATTAATCTGTCAAATGCAGAAATGGCTTGACTATTATGGACCTTTTGAAGCAGTGGTAGATGCTGCAAATGTGGGCCTCTTCAGCCAAAGGAGATTCATGCCATCCAAGGCAAGTTACTGAATGTAGGAAATACTTGGTTGGTTTGCTTTCTGGATTCTTGTTGTCATTGCTATTGCAATTATTAATCATTTTCTCCTTATATAAAACCTCTAGATAAATGTTGTTGTTAATGGAATACGTCATAAGCTGCCTTCCAAGAGATATCCGCTTATTATTTTGCATAATAAGCGTATTACGGGGCACAAAATGTATGAACCATTCAACAAGGAATTGATTGAGAAATGGAAAAATGCTGATGCACTCTATGCCACACCTACTGGATCAAATGATGACTGGTAAGAAATAAAATTTGATAATTTTTATCGTACCTGCTTATTTACATGTTTGTACTGATTATAGCTTACAGGTGCTTCACATGCTAACCTGTCCTTCAGGTACTGGTTGTATGCAGCTATAAAATTCAGGTGTTTAATCGTGACCAATGATGAAATGAGAGATCATTTATTTCAACTTTTGGGAAATGACATCTTCCCCAAGTGGAAAGAAAGACATCAAGTGAGTTAAGCTCTTAAGGAAGAAAATGTTCTTTTTTATCAATATGATGCTGATATTATATATTTTCATGCAACAAAGTACTCCTCTTGTCTTTATTGTAAGGTGTTTCTAATATTTTCATGTATATTAAAAAAAGGTCGTTACATTCTTAAAAGTCAAAAACAAAAGTTGAAATTCCAGTTTTACTCTATTAAAAATTAGTTACATCCACTTCTTTTCACAATTCCTGTGAAAACTCATTAATATTACATTAACTTTACCTCTAGAGAATATTACATTACCTCTTTTATTGTTGATCAAAAAACCTTTTAGAATACCTCTTATAATAAAAACTGGAGAAGTATGATTCAAGATTGCTTTTCATTCTACTCTATCTAGAGCTGGTCTAAGTTTTCTCTTTCTTTTCTTTTCCCTTTCTTTCTTTACTTTTCTTTAACTTTTTGTTTTTTTAATTTGAGCACAAGTTACAAATATGATCATTCTAAGATCTATCTCTTTTCCTAATTCAAGGTGCATTTTAGTTTCTCTGATACTGGTCCAGAGTTTCACCTGCCCCCTCCTTGTTCTGTTGTAATTCAGGTAAGTGACGTATTTTACTGGAAATCTCTTGTGCATAATGAACACACAAAATAATTTATATTTCTGTCAACCTCTGTTAGTTTGAATTTAAAATAATGGAGATGTAGGGCAAAGGAAAAGATAATAAACAATTGAAATATAACATTGCAATAGTTGTAGCAGGAATCAGAGGAAGGCCATTGGCATATTCCAGTTAAATCAGAGGAAGATTTTAAATCAGAAAGAAGATGGCTGTGCATTACCCGTGGTAAATCAGATAAGGCTTCAGAGAATTGTTCAAAAAGATCTGAAGGTAAATGCTTCAATAGCACACAATCACTGAAGAGAGAATCTAGTTCGTTTACATGTTTATTCTTCCAACTAGATAGTGTCTTTATAAGTGTTTTTGTTTTAAACATTCACATTATTGATTCCCGCACTCTTTTATATATTTTTTTTTTTTTGTTAAATCTCTATAATATAACTCAAATTTGTGACTATGCATCTGACTTCACATCTGCTCATCGACCGATGCTAACCTCTTGGGATGGATCACTAGAAATTGTTTTAAAGGTTAATGTGTCTGTCAATGTTAGGGAAACAATATCTTGCATTTTTTTTTTGGCATATTCTCTTGTAACTTGTTTTGTAATTATTTCTTTATATATTTTTTGTCTAGGTCTACAGTTCCTGTACTTTACATTTTCTATCTTTGCCTTGGACATGTTAATGGAAAAATTTGGGAAAGTTTATTCCTTTTTTTTTTTGGACGGAAGGGAAAGTTTATTCTAGGTGTAGGAAACTTCAATCCAGAGATATTTCTATTTTATGCATTTTTGGGCTTCCTTTAGAGAACCCAGTGGCACATATTTTTACATGGTAAAAAGGATATGAGATTTAGAAATTTCATACCAGTTATCATTTTTTTCCTCTCCGATTCTGTCATTTTCATCTTCCCTTCCCCATTTTTTCTTGACATTCTACATCATCCGACTTCTTCAAACCATTTCTTTTCTTTTCATTATATTTTAAGGGGGGAAAACCTATTTTTCATGTTTAGTGCAGAACTGCTTGCATCTGCTGATGATTTCATTACACTATCTCACACTTCAATATACCCAGTTACTTGTTCATTTTTGTTTTTCATCCCTATACATCAACCGTATGAATCTATATTTGATATGGATTCTCAACTTCTGCAAGGTGTTGAATGTGTAGAATCTGCTCCTGAAGCTGCATCTGCTGAGGAGTTACATGTAAATCATGACAACCACAAAGGAGAAAGAGAGGAACATCGAAAAATGTACACAAGTCTTAGAGATATATTTTCAGCATCAGTGTCATTGGAGTCAGATCATAGGACCCTGTTAACTGAAATTGAAGAAGCAGAGTTTCTTGGTGGCTGTACCATTGATTTTCAAATATGAATTTCATTTTATGTTCAGTGCCATGCATGATACTCTATAAATTTAACTGCTAGGTATAATAAAGTGAAGTTCCATTTTAGGTTATATATATCATAAGGGATTTGATAGGACACAATGTGGTTGTGCAATCTAAATAGCAGGTCTCACCTAGTGAGATAAAATTTCTTGTTATTTTGGTATATAGCAGAAGGGATTAGTATATTGGTAATGGAATAGATAAAGTGGTCCCAGCACTTCTGTTTTTGAAATAATCTTATTAACTTTCAGGACAATTGATTTGATAATTGGTCCTCGACTTGCCATTCTCATAACGGTACATTCTTAGAAGTTAGTTGGTGGGATAGTAAAATTGGATCCTGTAAATTAATGTATCGTACATTTAGAAAGAACTGAAACAAAAGAATTCAATCATATGTTGGGATTTTATCTCACATTCACATTTATTATTTATTCTATTTCTATTTTTCTTGAGACCCGCTACATGCATTTGTTTTTTGAATGAGGAGACTTCAAATCCAAGGGACAATCATTTTCTTTCTTGGCAAGGGATGGATTGGTTTTGACTTTCACCGAATATATATATACACACACACACACATATATCATAAAGTCAATAATGGTAAATTTTATCAATGCAATAAGACATTAATGTATCAATATAAAAATACATTATTTTTTTTATTTAATTACTTGGTATCCTAAGACACTTGGAGATGTTACAACTTCACATCCAAACTAATCCAAATCCCTATTGTGTAATTGTGATTACCAGTGGAGGCCTCACAGATATATGCATTATTTTTTTTTAGCTAAGTAGGTAAATGATTTTTCACTGCTTTTTATCTTGTACTATTTTCTGCAAGCCAATGCCTTTACATCCATATATCAAATGAGCTAGTTAATCTTGTAATTCCTTAATTCTTGCATATATTAACAATTAACAAGTAAATTTATGTCATATGTGATATACAAGTATCTTTATTAGCTCAAAGAAACATTAAACATGATGAATTGAAATTGTAGGACTTGACTCCCAAATTTATTCTAGACGGTGCAGCTTTAATATTAAAAAATTCCTTAATTCTTGCATATATTAACAATTAACAAGTAAATTTATCTCGTATGTGATGTACAAGTGTCTTTATTAGCTCAAAGAAACATTAAACGGGATGAATTGAAATTGGAGGACTTGACTCTCAGATTTATTTGGATGGTGCAACTTTAATATTAAAAACTTTTAATATTAAAGCTGCACTGTCTAAAATAAATTTAGATAGTTAATTTATAAAAATTGTAAAATTTTAATATTATATCTAGATCATATATATTAAATTTGGACTATTTAAATTGATAAAAAGATTTATTAAAATTATTTTAGTTTATATAATTTTTTATTTTAATAAAATAAAATATAAAAAATTAAATCTGAATGGTTCAAATTTATCTCTAGCTACTCCAAGAGAAGCCAAGTCCAAAATTGTAATGGCTTGATGCTAAACATAAAAGAGACATGAGTTATTTTATTTTGTACTAGGTTCAAATGGGAAAAAAAAACACTTCTTTTGGTATGATTGTCAAGAAGAAAAGAAAATAGAAATGGTTACTGTTATATCTTATATTATACATAAGTCACATTATAAAATAATGGTCCTGTTTATTCAACATTTTATGTGAGGCCAGGCTTACTTGTAAGACTATGGGGGCAATTTCGCTCACAAATAAACAGAAATTTGAACTTAAAGATTTGACCCCCAAACCCAAAAAGAAAAAAGAAAAAAAAAATCTAGTTGCCCTTTTAAAAATGCAGTTCACGGAGCATTGGCTAAAGAAAGAATGAATGAGTGAAATTAATTGCCATCGGCATTTTGTTGCATAAAACCAATAATAGAACATAATTTTTTATTTAAGAAAGTGTGCGAGTTTGTGTGTTTTGCAAAATGGCGGGAAATTGAAGCAAGCGCCAAAGACAGGTTATTAATTATTTAATTTAATACTCGATCAACTAACGAAGGGACCGACATATAGCTTCGATGTTTGCATGTGAAGCACCCTTTTAGGAGAAGAGAGCTTATATGTAAATATGTAGTGTGTGTGTGTGTGTGTGTAATATTCTCTCACATGAAGCTTTGCATGTGATGGGTCTAATTCTTGACCCATAAACTCTCCAGGACATTGTCGTGCCAATTTCCCATTCAAAAAGCAATCTTGAGGAATGCAATTATTGTTTTTTGTGTGTTTATCTGAGCATTCTTCAGAATCTGCAACACAACCTTGTCTTTATTAGAAGATTCCCAGACGATAATCTCACTGAAGACTACCAAATAACAATTGTTTATCTGATTTCCATCTTTTTTTCGGGGGAAAGAAAAAATGAAAGCTCAACAGAATATCACGGGACTGAAACTTTTTAGATACTTGTCATTTTTCTCCATTTAGTGCGTGCTGATGCAGAATCTCAGATTGTTCATTTCTCATTTGCCTCACCATTTCACAAAAACCCCTCTTCTTCACTCTGTTTAAAAGGGAATTTCATGACCCAGAAGAGCCTGGATATGAAACCCATGGCTTCTGCATCACTCTGTGAAAACCCAGAAGCCGAGGTTGAAGAAGAAGAAGAAGAAGAAGACGAAAGCTTGCTTTTTGCCAAGTCTCTTCAGGTTTGTTTTGTATCTTACCTGTATTGCCATAGGGTTCTCCTTTCGATTTTAAGATGTCACATTTTTATTTTTGGTTCACGGTGATAGTAGGAACTTAGAGGACTTCAATCTCAGCTTCGTGATGCTGCAGATATCTGTGAAGCGACATTCTCAGAGAGCAAAGAAAAAAAAGAGTGAGTCATCTCTCACCTCTCTTGCTTCCATAGTCACTAAATGTATATCTTTCAACTAGTTGATTCCAAATATTTGAAATTATACACACTATTTCCTCAAATATTATATAGAATCTAATATATGAGCTGCTTATGAAGGATTTTATTATATATTTTGATGTCTGTTGTAATTCTTCAAAGTTTTTGTGACTAGATCCTGTAGTCAACGTTCAAACTAAGGATGAAATAGATGAGAAAAATACTTTCAAAGAGACTAATAAGTATACATTTTAAACTAGTATATTTTCCTATAGAATATATGCACAGGATGTTAGTGAAAATACGGTTGAAGAAATCAAGGATATGATTAAAAAAATTGGAAATAGATATAGGAAAATACTATAAGTGCAGTGGAAATATTAAAAGAATTACATTACATGTGGAATCCGAAAATGATGAGTTTATTACTATTTCAATATCTGTTTAATTGACTATATGCCAGTTTGTGATATGTATAGATTCTCCAATCTTGGCCAATATGCTTCTGAGTTACAGTCATCAGTGTAAAGTAAAAATATAAAGAAAGAAAAGGCTCCGTATTCTTAAATTTGGGTCTAACAATGCTCAAATTTGAATTAGTCAATACTAAATACCAGATATTTGTTGAAAAAAAAGGAAATTTAGAGCTCTCTCATTAACTTCTCATAATGCACAAGGGTGTGTTATAACTTAAAATTAAACAATTAGCATCTTAAATTTTCTTCTGTTCTTTATATAGTTCCACTTTCAAACTAAACCCAAGATTGAAAGCTTAGGAAGTACAGGGATGGAAGCTATGCTAGCAGCAGCAAACGTTTAGTTACTCACTTGAAAACTTCAAGATGTTAGTGTTGAGACCTTTGACTCCCACATTATAAGCCTAACCACCAGAATGCTGAGAAGTTGATATTCTTTCTTGATTGGTTTTTCATGCTTTGGAAGCTTTGTTTGGCTTCTGGATATGGTGACAGACTGGGGTTTCTGTGTTTGGCAGATTGCTGGAGAACACAAAAGAATACCTATGCAGGGCTGTGGTAACTGTTGTTGATCATCTTGGAAATGTCTCAGCTAATCTCGAATCACTTATTTCTCAAACTAACGCGTTTTCCGAGGCTGAGTTACGCATCAACTGCCTCAAACAAGTTAGTGGCATTATTTTGCAGCAATCCAAATAGTTGATATATATATATATATATATATGAAGTTTAACAGATAGTGTTGACCATCAGAAATGAATGCAGATATAGCCTTTGCTATAAAAACATTAAATAAAAGTGAGAAGAGTTGTTAGTTACTGAACTTAGTATTTTTTTTGGCAGAGACTGCTTTCATGTGATCAATATGCTCATAGGCTTGCTCTCACCAAGTTGCAGTGGAGTGAGAATTTGCCAAGATTCCATTCACGTTACTTATCATCATGTAAGAATTTCATGATAATCATTTGTTTCTTTTCAGAGACGGTAAATTTTTCTATACTGTTATAATTTTCATGCATTTTTATCTGATCCTTTTTTATTTTTCCTTTCTACTTTCATTCTTTGGTCAGTAACAACCTTTGAGAGGTCCGGCAGTGAAAAATTCAGGTACTTCTTTCATTACTCAATACCCTGAAGAATATGATCATTAAAAGATCTTAGGTCACATGTTAAGATGCTACTTTAATTCCTTAGCCTTTCTCATTGTTTCATCTCTCTTTTTAAATCTTATTCAGGGACTCAGATAGTAAAGCTCCTCCAAAAATTAAAGATATTGTGCTTGAGGAGGAGGATTTGCCACTTTTTATGTACACCCAGAAGCCATGTCCAAACTTTAAGTTAACCACTGCTACTGATAAGGGGCATACCAACTTGCCCTTAGGTAAGATATTGTTTTCGTGGCAACAAATTTGCTGCTATCAAATCAATCATGATAATCATACAACTAGATCGTTCAAATGTTTTCTTCACTGTGCCATATGTCTATTGAAAAACCTATTAGCAAACGCCTAAAATTTTTTTACTTAAAACTAGTCTAAGCTTCTTCTGCTCTCTGGGTTTGACAATACTTCATCTACAGATATGGTACCTGTTCAGGACGCAATGACGGTCTTAACAAAAGTCCCAAATCAAACATTTCATTTCCAAGTGAGTTTGGCTCATGTAATCCAACCTCATTTGAACTGTCTTGGCTTGGCTCTTTGGATCTTAATTTCTGATGCCGAATGAGTTTATATGTAGGTGAACCAGAAACCTGGACGCCAAAGAAAATCATTGCGTGGCAGTGACATGTTATGGCTCATACGGCCCAGAAAGCATTCACAGTAATTAAGCTGGAGAACCTATTTCTTCATCTTCTGGTCCTGTGTGTGTTTTTATGGTGATGTCTCTTTAGTGAGGCGCTTTTCAAGGTTGTAACTTCTGTAATTATGATAGGAAAGATCTCCATGATACAGAGGGATTTGGATTTAGCATATCAGACTGTTCATATTCAGTGAACTTGAAATTTTTTTAAAAAGGAACGATCAGGTTCCAAATGCCTACAAACTATATTTAAATTTATTATTGAACAAAATATTAGTAAAAGAATAAAGAATATAAGCCAGTACTGACACAACCTATTTGATTTTACGGAGCATAGGAAAGAAGACTAGTACACAAAAGATAGGGGTGAGAATATTTACGCCTGCACTGTGAATGATTTCTTCCTGATTCCTTTTTTTGCTGTGAGTTTCTCTCCTTTTCTCCTTCCTCTTCGGAATTGGATCTTCTCAATTTCTCTCATTTGAAGAGTAATGCACCCTATAAATTGTGGGTTGGGTATACTGAATAATTGATCTTTTTTAAAAAAATGTGCTGTAAATTTAGAAGAGAAATTGAGAATATCCAATAGTTTCACATGGTTCATTGATGTCAATGGCGAGGTATGGGACTTTTGATAGCGTACAGGTGCTCAATCTTGTCCCAGTAGGATTTCTTGGTGTACTTGGGAGTTTTATTTGAACTCTTTTCCTCGTTTTCTTTAGAGTTCACTTCATCCAAGTCTCCAGAGTTATGCATGTCATCCCTTCCATTGGAAGAAGGCCAGTTCATGAAATCTGAGAGAGTCATGGAGGATGGTGTCTCTGATGAAGAATTCAACTTTTCCGTCTCTTCCCCAGGGTTTCGGCTCATGTCTTCATCGACTGACAACATCCTGTTATGTGTTGGCATTGATGGATTGGTAGCCATGGAATCAGCATATAGCACATCCTCAATCCTTGACGACACTGTATAAGCCAAGCTTTCTATAACCCTTGAATAGCTTTCTAGAATGGACTGTCCTACATCCTATGCAGATTTTAACAGCAATAAATCTAATCAGCAACATGAAAAATCTTGATGGTTGAAACTATAGAAAACAAAGATGAGCTGCAATTAATGGTTTGTTTTTACCTTATTGTATTGGATCTTGCTGATTTCAAGTGAAGACTGTGGAAGTCCTGGAAACTTCTGTTTAATTAACAACAATATTGTCTCTGCTCTATCCTCAAAGAGCTCCCTCTTCTCATGGCTGACAGCTGAACCCCAGGAAGATTTGCTATCCTTGTTGGTCATCTTTCTTCTCCATATCACTATAGAAGCTTCAATCCTATTCTTGAGGTCAAGAACTTTGTGCTCATTTGACAAGTCCATAGATGAGAGGAACTGTCCAGGATCAAAGTAATCCTCTGTGATAAATTTATAGAGTGAATCACCAAGGCTTTCTCTACCATTCTGCCAAACATGCCAAGGAAAACATTGATCAAAGTATCTCAAGAAACAAAGTACTTGAGCATTGATAGACATGGATGCTTTAGAAAGATATGTATTTTACTTTGGGAAGAGATTCAATGTAGTTTTCAGGAATCTCCATCTCAGATAGCACTTGAGCATTAATAGCCATGGCTGCTTTAAGTACTTGGGTGACAGAGTCCTTCTGGATATACATCCATTTTCTTCCCGCATCTGATAATCCATCTGGGGGAACTTTGACAGTTGGTAGCCACCATTTGTCACTCTTCCTATGGTTATTATTGCTAGCTTCAGATTCATCATCACCCTTTTTAACATACCAGAATTCAGTCTGATCTTTGAAATTATCTAACGTGTCCTGTTCCATTGTAATCGAGTTCGTTAGCGAGAGTGTGAAATTGACAGACTAAGAAGTTATCTGCAAATTTAAGAGAGAGAGAGTCTATAGAATCTACATACATTATAGGATCCACCATTGATAGAATTAATACTGGTGCACGTTCCAAGATCGTATACCACACTAAACCAAATGGATTGGGAAATCACGGAAAAGGTAAAATTTAGCTACTTACAATAAGCATTGCATCAAGCTTGCGTAAGGCAGGGATGTTCATGAGCAGATCAATTCGTTGCCGCGTAGTCATGATCTATACAGTCAAACACAAAACTTATTATGCATGTCTGACCAAACTGAAACTGAAATTTAACATTGTTGGTTCGAAGAGATGAGAGAATGAAGGTCCAGAAGATCACCTCCATGCACGTCCCATCTTTTCCTATCTGTTTTGATGGAACAAACTCGACAATGTGATCTGTCACAGACAAAAGCCAGTCAACTTCTCTTCTCCACCTTGCTTTGCTTTCTGCAGACATTGGCGCCAGTTTTGATTGTTCTCCGAAAACAGATGCTGCATGTGCATGTTTCACAACCAAGCAAATTGTTACATCAAAAAAATCAAGGTTGCATTTGTTTTATGATGGAACTTTTTGAACCACTTTTTCTTTTTTGCATACCAGCTAAGTTTGTTATTGCATTAGACAAAGCCAAAGCAGAAGAAACTCCCTTTCCAGCACCTGACATATCTTCTCCCAGCAGCAGCCTAGAAAATCTTTCTTTTATCATCTCCACTTCTGAATTCAAGCACTAAAATATATCAAGGAAAGCAAAAAACATACGCTATGCTATTTGATGATCATCTTGTGTGACTCCTGAACATTTTGAAGTGCAAGTATTGGAATTTGATTTGGTCATTGGGACTACTTGGAAATAGTGTCATTGTATATGTTGGGTTTTATCCATTCTTAATATACTGATGAGCCAGCCCCAAGTCCTATTTTATTTGATTTAATATAATTTATCAATATTAATTTCTGGATCAGGGAGGGAACAGCTTTTCTACATGAGAATAACTGACAAATATGGTTCCTACTAGTATGGGATGCTGGTTATGTGAAACCGACAAAAAAAAGGGGGGGGGGGAGTATCATTGAAGAACTATTGAAAGAATTTAGATCATCATTTGCTTCCTAAAATAAAATAAAATAGAATGGATTAAAAATAAAGGTAAAAATACGATGATCAAAGAGGATAGATGAATACATTTATAAAGGAGAGGAGTAATTTAGTTTATAGGGTTAGGAATCATGATTCATAAGATTTTTTGGAGGGTATGATTTTTTCTACATTTGTAATATATATTAATGAGTTTCATAATGCTTATCATGAGGGGAATGGTGATTTAGTTCATTTTTGTCTTGATTTTTTCAATCCATTTCATTTTATTTTATTTTAATAAGCAAACGTGACCTTAATATCTAATAAAGACTTTGAGCAAGTAAACATTAGTAATTAACAAGTGAAGTTCAAGTTTTAATAAATATTCATTCCACCCAAATCCTTGTTTGATATTAAATTCTTTGAAGGGCCATTTATTGATATTCTCCAAAAATAATTATTAGTTAGAATTCATAAGTTTTTGACTAGAGTACAGGTAAGACATTCTCATATCTCAAAATCTCACAATATGATCCTATTTATAAATTATTTTTAACATGTTTTGTTATAATTAAGAAAATCTTAAAATTTATTAATTTTGTCTACAAATTTAACAAGTTTTTCAACCTTGCTCTTAAATGTGCATGTTTTAATAACGGCAATGCACTTTCTTTTCCTAAAATTTAATGTAAGATAAAAAAAAATTTGTGATAAAAATTTAACTACGTTAGTTAATTATAAATAAAATATTTTTCCTATATAGATATTGAGGAGGTAAAACTCCATAATCTTGAGTTGAAATGTGACGATACAAACCAGTTTGTGGCTTGGCAGGTTTAGGGCCAGCTGTTTCCGCACCCAAGTTTGCAGGTGAAGCATTATGTTGATGATTAATCGCTGGCTCTATATGCGGATGATTTCCCACTGAGGATGCATTGTCATTGCCATTGAAGCTGTTAGGCATTTCATTATCAGATTCTGCTTCTGCCCTATCATCTTCAACCTCCTCCTCGCTGTCGTGACGCGAACCGTCAGAAATTAAATGGTGGATTCGTTTCCCAATCCGCCTAAAATGAAAAGACCTAGTCTTCTGCATGATGATTGTGGGTTTGCGAAGAACAAGCCAGAATCATCGTTTACTGAAGAACTGCATCTTTAATTTCTTTCTCTGCAATAATTGAAACCTTGTTTGGACAAAGACTGTGATGTTAAGTAATGGGTACATAGAAATAGAATGACAAGTGTTTGAGATTGAAGCAATGTCCGTGACTATAGCGTGAAATTTTTTCTCTGTCTATTTCTCTACCATCCATCGCTTTTTGATTCTTGCGTGGTTGTTCATTGATCCGCTCAAAGAAGAGAAAAATGAAAATCATGGAGTAAAATGGCTATTAGTGGAAATGATTGAGCGATTAATGTCGAATGGGATTGGATTGTTGGCGGAGATCCACGAAAAGAAGGAATTGTGAACTATAATTAGAATGCCGTTGATCTTGTTTTCACTGAGCGACGTTAAGATTTGATTCCACTATTGGAATAGCCATGCATGCAGTTCAAACCAGAAATAATTAATCACAAATATAAATTAGGAACAATTTTTTAAAATTAAAATTACAAACATTTTAACGATACTTAAAGGCATTAAAAAATAATACTTTATGAAATAATTATAAAATGTTAAAAAAAAAAATCTTTCCTTTTTCTGGCACAGAGGTCACCGTTAAACCATGCAATATATGCTGTTCAAAAAAAAAAACGCAATATATACGAGACTAATAGCACGCAGTTTGTTGTGGACCCTACTCTCCTCCCTCGCTAAAACTGTCAATAAATGCTAGTCCTAATCTAATAAATCCGGTCCCTGTAAGCTTAACGATCAAGTTCATAAATCCTCTTACTTTGAAATTAATATTTTTATCAAATTTCACCATTATTGATAGAGCTCAAGGTCGGGTTTATAAACCTGTATAACTTTTTTATTCTTCTTTGTTTTAAATTAAAAATTTTAATTATACTAATACATATATAAATTACATAATACCTTAATTAAATATATAAATATTATTTATTCCTTGTCATTATTGCATTCATGAAAATATAATTTAATAATCAAACTTTTACTATTAAATACTCACTATGATAAAAAAGTGTCTATCATGGTAACAAAAAGTAACCTATTTTTCCAAAATACTACCATAATAAATAAAGATTTATCACAATAAAAAGAGTTTTATATATTATTTTTAAAATTCTACTATGGTAGGAAAGAGGTCACCGTGATATATAAAGATAAAAATTATTTTTATAAAAAATATCATGATAGAAAGAGCTTTTGTTACAATAACCATTTCGCAAATTGGACTATCATAGTGAAAAAGATTTAACATAATTTAAATAGACCTACCATGTTAATTTATGCATTAAATAAAATAAATCAATAGATAGTAATGTTAAGCTAAATTAAAAAAGTTATACCTAATGGGATCACATTATCAACAATTATTTAAATCCATTATTTTGTCGAAAATCATAAACCCACATGAAGCATGGTTCTCAACACAGTTTAAATCCAAATATCAAATCAATCACTATTAGGTAGTTGTCAAAGGGATTCAAGTGTTCACCCAAAACGATTACACTGGTTAGATAAAGTGTGTGTTTGGATAAGAGGAATAATTTATTAATTAGCCCAAAATCAATTTTTTAGGCCAAGTTATCCAAACAATCGGTAAAGCCAAAAATCAATTAAATAGCTAAAACGTGCATTATCTTATAATCTATATGCACCAACTTTGAAAAATTTATTCTACTGTTTATGACATTAATTATTTTGTCAGATGATCCACCTACTAGTGTTACCCTTACCCATTTACGTGTATTCTCTCATTTCTCATTTTCTCATTTCTCATTCCCTCTCTCGTATTTGTTGTCTCCTATCTCTCAGCCTTGCTGATCTACGGCTTCCTTGTGCCATCTCTCTGCCGTCGTCCAACCACCCCCAATGTGATCACCGTCTGCCATCTTCGATCTACAGCCAAAGGCAACAATCTTCGACCATTCGCAATCTATGTGCAGATTTACAGTCCTTGTCCTGTGCAATCCTCGTGGAATTCTCAACCACTGTCCGTGATCTTCGAGCTACAATCAGCAGCAGTAATCTCCAGCCATAGTCAAAGAAGGTTAGTCTTGCCTCGATCTACTTGCCCTATCTCCGATCTGCTCGTCGTCTAGTGTCTTCATCTCCTATCTCCTCTGATTTGTTTGAGAGAAGTATTGAGTGGGCTAAGAGGTAAATAATCTTCTCCAACCATTACTTTGAACAATATGGAGATCTCTATTTTGGCTAGTGTGGAATTTTTTCTCGTGACTTTGAGCTTAATTGTGGCTTTTATATTTTGCTGTTTCTTTGTAAAGTTTCTATGCCTAGTCGAACTTATAACTTGATATGGGAAAGCAAGATGCTCTCACAAACAAGCCAAGGGGTGGATTGGAAGATTCTGATTCCCTTCTTTATTGGATTCTGATGTAAGGAAAGAATGAAATTAGTCTATTGAAAGTTGATTTTAGCTCCTCTAGAAATTGAAAGATGTTCTATATTTCACTGAAAACATGAAAAATTGATTCAATAATTTAATTTTAAAAAGTTATGTCCTTTATGATAATTTATACAGTTAAAATTAATTTTGAATAAATTATTCAAACATCTTCAATTTTGTTAAAATCAATTTTAGAAAAATAGTATCCAAACAGATTGCGTTATAACATCATCAATTATGATTAAAATCTACTGCTTAATCAATTATTTTCATAATTTATTATACTCAACTAAAATTCAAATGTGCACAAACAATACTTCCCAAACGTGATTTTAATAATCAATACCCAATGTGAGCCCACAAGTCACTTTTTACAATTTATTAACATAACCTAACCAAAGTCCACTCTATGATGTACACTTGTCGAACATCACGTAACAAACACATTTTACACATGCATAAAGTGAAGTCATAGTTGGGTTACAACCATCTAACCCAATTATATATCAATAATTGATTAATCAACATCGCAATGTTAAATCATAACATAAATATTCCAAGTAATCAAATAAGACCTTAAGGGACAAACATAATTCACATGGCAACATACACTGAGTTAATCAGTAGATAAAGTCTACATGCTCAGTTGTATTAAAAATTGCCTTAAGTTGGCAAGTATACAGTACTAATCTAAAACGGCAAAACAAAAGGATTGGTGTCTCATATACTAAATCTAAGGCTCCAATGCTCTTCGACTAAACTCATTTTAGTGAAATTATTAACAATGAGAAATGAGACACAAATATACCAATAACCAATACCAATATGTAACTAATCATGTAATTGCTAAGTAAGCAGATAAAATATTTTTCAAATAATCAAAACTAAGTAACCAAATACAAAATGCAGAATAACACCTTGTCTCCTCTTTTTTCCATACCTGGCACCTAGTTCATCTAGCTAAAAGGAAGCTAGTCCAAGCTATACAAGCCAGTCATGGATCATATGAGAGCCTACTATGTCGCAATCAGAATAGTACTAAATACTTTTGAATACAACTTCTCCAATATCATTTTCCAAATACAACCTAATGGAACGTGTAGTCAGAGTACACTCGAATAAGAATATTCACATTTCCAAACATACAACGTTCCAAACAATAAATCATCCTTCCAAAAATAATTTTCCATTACAAACATGTTTAATACAATTCTTTATCCAACTAGCAATTCATTTTCCAACAATAATTCATACATTTTTCAAACATATATTTCCCTAATAACAATTATTTTAATCAAAATTACATACAACCAATCACATAACATACACCACAACATAAGGTAGAGGTTACCTTATGACTTGGACAATAACTTACCCTTTACAACACTTCTACCATTACATTCTTTGCTAGAACAATCTACATAAATTTTTCAACATGACATAGCATTAATTTCAAGTTTGAAATCAATAAATGACTCTAATTATATAATAAAAAAATTTAAGTCCAAAACCGATTATCAACACTAATTAAAGGCTAGTGTATTATCATTCCTTTCAACACTTCTTTTTACAATCCCCAAACACTAATAAATTATAATTAATTATCAAATCACTTCTAATATCAAAATTTCATCCTTTTCCTTTCTTAAGTTCGTCTCAACACTTCTTTTTACAATCCCCAAACACTAATAAATTATAATTAATTACCAAATCACTTCTAATATCAAAATTTCATCCTTTTCCTTCCTTAAATTTGTCTAAAAAAACTCTAAAAATTAAAAGTTTGTCCTCAAGCCTTAAGTCATCATTTTAAAGCTTTAAAAACATTTGTCAATACTCAAATAAACATTTACTTATTAGAAAAATCATCCCAAAAATTTAGGTTCAACACATACTCAACAATATAGGCTTTAGGTTTAACCCAATACTTTAAGATTCGAAATCCAACCTTAAAAAATGTTTTAAACATTTGTTACACTTCTATCAACCTTAGCAACTAGATATAATCATAACAAATTCATATTTCAAGCCCCCATCATGGAAACCTTAATGGAAAATCATCCTTAAATCAAAGAGAAAACTAGGTAAAATAGGAGAGTGGGAGGCTAGAAACCTCCCCCAAGTGATCTCCAAGCTCAAGATACCTCCAAGGCTCTAAGAATCCCTACCCTAGCAAAGCAAAATTGCATCTATCTCTATTTTCTTTTTCCCTCTCACGCAAATGAACTAATTTTTTAGAATAGAGACTGCTATATTAGCATCGTCCCTTCAAAAATCATGTCCACACACGGATAACCTTAGTTAAAACATATCATCCTCCATATAAATGTCCATGAGCAGTCGAGCCCTTTGTTAGGCTCGTTTATGGGCAGTCAAGGTCAAAGTGGGCTTTTCCCACTCAAGCCAAAATCTATTAGGCCCAAATCGGCCTGAAACATATTTTGCACCTTAATTAACTCTCATACATAATTTTAAATCTAATTTAATCATAGTTAGAAGCCTACTTAACTACTTAACATCAATAAACCGTGGCTTAAGTCCTCCATTAAATCCTCTAATACATTTATTTTCTCAATTAAATCCTCAAATTTAATTAAACCTTAATTACGTATATATCCTTAATAAAATTATCATTTAAAAATTAGGATGTTACAATCATCAATTTTCACAGAAAAAAATAAAACATTAGATCCTTCAAAGGAAAATTTACTTGGAGGAGTGGTGATATTTCAACAATCTCACTAACTTCTTCTCCATTACCTAGAATAAATATATAACAAATTGTGTTATTCT